AAGTAACAGCTGGGTGGTGGTGGCCTATGCCTTTAATCCCAGCACTTGGGAGGCAGAGGCAGGCGGATCTCTGTGAGTTCAAGACCAGCCAGATCTACAGAGTGAGTTTGAGGACAGGTTCCAAAGCTACAGAGAAACCTTGTCTCAAAAAAAACAAAACAAAAAACAAAAAGAGATAGCAGCAAAAAACATAGGTCACTTCCTAGTCCTATTAAAAAGAAAAAACCCTCTTGCATTGTCACAAAGGAACAGCTCAGAATAAGATGTGCAGATAGTTAGGGCTCAGGGAGTAAAAGTGCCTACCACTAAAACTAGCATCTTGAGTTTAATCCCCAGGACTCACATGCTAGTACAATAAGCAGTCTTCTCGGTGTCTTGGTTTCTTCTCTGTCTGGGGTGCAGCACCTCAAAACTACCATCAGAGGAGGGGGAGCCTCTCTCCCCCTCCACCCCAAAGACCTGCCCATTTGACAGTCAAGTATTCCTATGTTCTAGGCTCACAAAGCAAAGCCAATTAAGATCTGTCAACTAGTGTGTAACTTGTCCCTTCCCATAATTCACAAAAGCTGAGGTCAGCAGAACCAGTGCAGTGTCTTTTGGGCATGATGGGACTGCTGTGCTCACGAACTCACAGCAGCTGCGCTGGCCTGCACAAGATTACACCAGTCAACATTCCAGAATGGAGTGGAGACAGGCAGGTCTCCCATCATCAGCTAAGGAGCTATTGGCAGTTGATGACTGCTGGAGGAGAGAGACTTTTCTTTGATGGTGCGGCTCCTGGGAGGTCGAACAAGCATGCACCCACCCACCCACCCATCTAGCCACACATCCACCTCTGCAGTCCTCAGTTCATCTGTTCACATCCCCAGTACTGGGATTCCCATTGCACACCATTTGGCTTATCGTGTGGGTGCTGGGGATTGAACTCAAGCTCTCAGCTTGCGCTATAATCACCTCTGGCAAAGCCATCTCCCCAGTCACATAGCTCTTACTTGACTCAATAATGAATAAAATAGTAAGAATGCCAACTTTTCAAAGGAGAAGTGGAAGTAATGGGGATTTGCAAGTATACAACTGTCTGTCTTTGGGGCCAAGCAGCTTGCATCCTCCAAGGCACAGCCCCAGTAAGATAAGACCAGAGATTCCAGGAAGGAGTCCTGGAATGCAGAAGAACAGGAGAGACAGTACACAGAAGTCTGCGAGCCTCTGAAAGAGCCAATTCTGAAGATACCCAGCCCTTAGCCTTGTGACATTGATGTCAGCTCCTGGACCAATTGTGCTCTTAAGGTCTTAAGCCATGGTTGGTGATGGAGGTTTGTGATTCCAGCCTTGGGAAGACTGAGGCAGGAAGGTTCTAGGAGTCTGGGTAACATAGAAAGGTCCTGGTCAAAACATTAAAACACAGGACAGACAAGATGGCACACATCTTTAATTTCCTTTTGGGAAGCAGAGGCAAGTGAATCTGAGTTTGAAGCCAGCCTGACCCAAGCAGCAAGTTCCAGGACAGCCGGGACTGTGTAGAACGACCGTCTTACATACACACACACACACATCCAGAAACGCTGGACTTGTTGTGACTTTTCTTGTGGCAGAAGCCACAGCCCATCCCCCACCACCCCTGCCAATAGGTGGTGAAGTATGTGTGACTCCGTGAGACCAGGTCGTCCATCTCATTCCAAGATGATGCTCAAGTGCAAAGGAGCTGGGAAGAATGGACCAGCCCTTATGCCAGAAAACCAATCCTGAGTGGAAATAGTGGCTTTGGAAGCCAGATGTCATGATCCAAGTCTATAAACCAAGCACTCAGGGGGCACCTCAGCCCCCGCAGAATCCAAGACCAGCCTGCGCTACACAACAAGACCCTATCCCAGAATAAATAAAACACAACTCCAGCATGGTGGCTAAATTTGTAATAAATTGAAGGCTAACCTGAGCTACCTAAGTCCTGGGCCAGCAAGGTTTACATAGGGAAACTGTCTCAAATAAACAAATAAATAAACAAACAAAACTGAAAAACAGGCCACCTGCTGCTCTTCCAGAAGATCTGGACCCAAGTTCTCAGTAGCCACAATAGCAGGCTCACAACTGTCTGTAACTTCAGTTCTAGCTCATGCAACACCCTCTTTGGGCCTCCATTTGAACACACACACACACCTACCTTTCCCTCCCTATTTCCCTCTCTGATTGAAAACAAATCTTTAAAGCTGGGTGGTGGTGGCACACTTAATCCCAGCACTCTGGATGCAGAGGCAGGTGGATCCTTGTGAGTTCAAGGCCAGCCTGGCCTACAGTGAGTTCCAGGATAGCCAGGGATACACAGAGAAACCCTGTTTCAAATCAATAAATAAATCCTTAAAACAATAAATCCAAACCAAAACTTTCCGTGTGTGTTGCAGGGAATGGAATTCAAATCCTCATGTCCATGTTAGGCGATTATTCTACCATTTTTGTCACCCTAGCTTAGGTCAGGCAGACTTTACTAACAATAAAAGCCCACAAAGCCAGGCAGAATAGTGCAGTTTATTTTTACAAATGACCTTTATTCCAGCCATCTTTTACGTGCATTGATGTTTTGCATATATGCCCGTGTGAAGGCACCAGATCCTTTGGAACTGGTGTTACAGTTGTGTCAGCTACCTGCCACGTGGGTGCTGGGAACTGAACCCAGGTCCTCTGGAAGAGCAGCCAGCCATCTTTCCAGCTCTGGTAGTGCATACTTTTAAGACCAGCACTCAGGAGGCAGAGGCAGGCAGATCTCTCTGAGTTTAAAGCCAGCCTGGTCGACACAGCGAGTTCTAGGAAGGTATTTATAGAGAAACCTTTTTTTTTTTTTTTTTAATCCAAACCCATAATTACCTTGAAAGCATCTGCTGGGAAACAGGCTAAGGAAGCTGTGGGTTGTTTTTGTTTACTCCTGTGTTCCTGTGTATGGTTTCAGTGTGATGCACGGGAGTGCTGGTGCCCCCCGGAGGCCAGGAGGTGTCAGGTCTCTCAAGCTGGAGTTAAAGATGGTTTTAAGCTTTCTGATGTGGGTGCTGGGAACCAAAGTTGGGTCCTCTACTGCTGAGGCAGTTCTCCAGCCCCTGGGAAGGGTATTTTCTATCCTTATGTGGTCTTTTTGCTATTCTCTGTGGGCTACACCAGACCTCCTGGCCTCTAAGAGTCCAGGGAGCCTCCTGTGTCCCATCAAACCCTAGCCGAATTACAGATGTGCACTACTATATTTGGCAAGGTCCTTACTTTTGCTCATTGACAGTCTCCCTATGTAAACCTGGCTGGCCCAGAACTTAGGTAGCCCAGGTTAGCCTTCAATGTAGTTAGATACCATCCTGGAGTTTTGTTTTGTTTGTTCTGGGACTTGTGTAGCACAGGCTGGCCTTGGATTCTGGACAGTCCTGCCTCGGCCTTATGAGTGCTTGACTTTAGACTTGGGCCATTTACTTATTTAATTTTTGAGACAGTTTTTATTGCAACTCAAAGCTGACCATGAGTCTGCAATTATGCTCAGCTTCTCTAGTCCTGGGATTACACGTATGCTTCACTGTGGGTGGTTCAATAATGGGAGGGTTCATGTGAGTGACAGCATCAGAATGAGACCAGGGATGCTTGTAGTCCCCATACCCACCATGGGTGACACAGAGCAATGCAGTACTGTTGGAAAGGAAACTGCTACGATCGCTCATTCTACTTCTCAACTATCACCACCAATAAAACCACCAAGGATTCCAGGAACCTTTTTAATGTGTGAATGTTTTGCCTGCACCTATGTCTATGTACTACTTTGTGTGTCTGTGCCGGTGGAGGCCAGAAGCAGGTATCAGAACCCCTGAACTAGAGTTGGAGGGTTGTGAGCTATCATGTGAGTGCTGGGTATTGAACCCAGGTCTCTGGAAGAGCAGGAGGTGCTTAGGTACCTCTCCAGATGGTACCTGGGAGTTCTGAAGCAGTCATAAAGCTCTGAGACATCTACCCGTCTCCATCACAAACACACCACCATGTTCAGCTTTTTATGTGGGGTCTGGGAACCTAAACTCAGGTCCTTGGGCCTGCAAGACAAGCATTTTACCCACTAAACCATCTCCCTGGCCCCCACAGTCGCCTCAAGTAAGTAAGGGTTTGAAGCCTGTGGCACAGGTCATCAGGTAGGTTGTAAACAGGAGGCAGTGCTGTGCTGGGAGGGGCAGGAAGATCCTAATCTGTATTCGTGCTGAAGGTGGTCAGTCTTGAAGGGACACAGCGAGTCTGGTGGAGCTGCCTGGTGTGTGTGTGTGTGTGTGTGTGTGTGTGTGTGTGTGTGTGTGTGAGTGACTGCCTAAAGCCTCTAGGCCTGTCCTTTCCCTTTGTCCCCTGGGGCAAAGCTACCACAGTCAGGTATCCTCAGCCAGAAGAGACAAAGCCCTGCTGACAACACAGAGGGGCAAGAGGATAGAACCATATCTGGAAGGCAGCAGAGGGGAGGAGCAGCAATGCAGGAACATCCCACAGAGGCACGTATGTGTCTTGGCTACCAGCCAATGCCCTAGATGGAGGACCCTTACAGACTTAGATGGCTTAAGCCCCCATCTCTGTCCGGGGGTTCCCCCGACTGTTCCAGCCCTATGCCACTGCCCACTCTCCACCTTCAGTAGAGCATAAGGCAGGCGACGCTTGCTCACCGCATTCTTAATTGGCAGTGGAAAATGCTGGGGACTTTATTGAAAAAAGCAATAAATAACACTGTGATAAAAACAGTTCAGAAGTCAACTGCACAGACTTTGTTATATAATTGAGAGGGTCACAAACGATTAACAGAAAAACAGAACAACCAATTGTCCAGATGAATTAAAAGCAGAAAGCAAATATAAAAGCCTCTCCCACATCAGCTACACAATAAATACGCACGTGTCTGCCTGAGCCCTGTGGCTTAACTCACCAGAGTCAGTGAGGAGGTTGCCAAGACAGTTATGAGTGTACAACTAGGTCCATTCTTAAGACATTTACAAATAAATGTAAAAAGACAGTTTACACAAGAAGAATAAGGCCTTTATTGGAGTTGCAGGCTGCCTGCTCCGCTGAGGTTTCTTGCTTTCACCTGCTCTGCCCCAGTCAGGAAATGAGCACCTGCCCATGGTGATTGGTCCTTGAAGAGAGTGCAGGGAGGCAGCTGCAAGGTTCTCTAGGTTGCTCAGTCCGCAGGTGATGAGTCACCCTGCCCCTGTAGAGTGCTGCTCCTAGCTCAAGGCCCTGCTCAATCTCTGAAGACAATCGACCCATGTCCAGAGCAGGGCCAGGGATGTGGCCAGGGCTAAGGGCTGTTCACAGAGTCCTGACCATTCGTCCCAAGCCTAATGGAAGCTGAGATTTCTTGTAGAAAAAGTACAATTAAGGTCAGTCATTAAAATACGACAGAAAAAAGTCTGGAAATAAAGTCTGCTTGTTTCAGAATGATTGTTGCAGAGCTGGGTAGAGGAGAATGCACATGGCTTGTATCATGATGACTTTATAAACGTAGCAAAATCCTTTCCTCTGTCGGATTCATCATTAAAAAATTAAACAGGAATAATTACAGTAAATGCATAATTTACAAAAGCCCTATATTTGCTCAGATTTACACACAAGCATTACAGTACATTCATTTAAAAGACTAAAATTAGGTATAAGAACATGAACTGACTCAAAAGGATATTTATAGCCTGGATATACATGAAAGAGTACATAACTATATAAATGAGGAAGTGTAAGTTTACATAAATATAAGAAACAGTCAATTCTAAAATATTTTCTCTATGGTATTTGTGATTTTTTTTTCCCACAAGTTTAAAAACTCTGTAATAAAATATCTTGGGTCCATACAGCAAGTGCTGCCAGATGGGGCTCCACCAAGCTCTGCCTGTCTCTGCCATGGTGTCGTCATCTGTAGAAGTAGTGCGGGTAAACTGGAAGCAAGCACAGACACTTCCTCTCAGCACACACTGGCAACAAAGGGCTGCCCCACTGCTACCTGTGACCTATGCCCAGTCCCCAAGCATGTGTCTCATGATACTAATTAAAAAAAAGCCCCCCTCCTTCCAAAAAGCACTCCCAGATCCCAGGGGAATAGCACCCTGGAAAGAGAGGGCTCAGGAGCAAAGAGAGATGAGGGAGACATGGACCTAGGGGACGCCCACCCTTAAAAATGGCTCTGGAGCACTGGACACAGGTGGCCACCACTAAAGCTGAACTCAGCAATGCAGCTGTATGCTGAACAGCAGCCCTCTATATTGAGCCATAGTTCACATCATCAGCCACCTGTTGACTAAACAGAACAGCAGATGCCACACATAGGTGCTAATTTGAGCAGCTGAAAGAGTCACACCAGTGTGGAGGACTGTTCTCACTGTTGCCCCCCTTCATGACATCAGCCAACACCTAGGGCAAGAGAACTTAAAGTCTGCAGAGCTGGAGAGAGCTCAGCTCTAGGGGATCCTGTTACCCTCTTCTGGACTCTGCTGGCACATGCACTCACATGTGTACACATGTACAGAGAGAGAGAGACAGAGAGACAGAGACAGAGAGTGACAGAGACAGAGAGAGACAGAGACAGAGAGAAAAAGCTGTTTCATTTTATGTGGCTACTGTCCACCACAGCACCTGTGTGGTGCCAAGCGCCAGGAGCTGTGTTCTTTCAGTTCCCAAATAACTGCAGTTGGCTCTCCTAGTCCAAAGCTGCCAAAGCCAGGTAGACACGAAGTACCCCACTGTACTGTACTGTACGGGGACACCTGGGAGCAGCTCTCTACTCACCAGCAGGAGGCTCTAGCAGGAGTAAGTCCTGACTGTGGCAGAGTCCAGCCTCTGTGCTCCGGACACACTACCTGTCTCCACAGGCAAGGGAGGAAGCGTGCAAACACAGCGTGCAGTTAGTGTTAAACATCACACAAGGGGACAAAAAAGACATTCCACACCTGACAAGACTTCCCAAGTGATAGGAAGACAGTCTGCTCTGGGGAAGGAGCCAGTCAAGAATACCAGGGTGGCCCAGAAGCTCCCTCTGAGGGCCCAGGAACTGGTGGCTAACTCAGAAACAGCAACAGGCAAGCAATACAAACACAATTTCAGGTGTCCATGTACATGAGTGACAATTACAAAAGAGGCTACCATGTTTCTCTTGAGATTGTACTACATGTCTTCTGCCCGAATACTGTACTTCCAAGAACACAGAGGTGGGAAGGGCTGAGGCTACACCCGTAAGGCAAAGGGCTCCATGAAAGAGCAGGATGGCCAGGACAGCAGTTTCTCTTAGGACACCAATGGCCAGACTCAGTTTCCATCAGAAACTGTTGAACTGCTGGTTACCATTTAATAAAAAGCCCGATGGCTTATGAGATAGGATGGGTCTATGCACAGAGAGCTGGCTATTCTCATAGCCACACTCTCAGAGCCACTGCAGATGGCTCAAGTGGAAGGTTTGCCTGCCATGTACACAGTGTCTCACCTTTCCTCCTTAGAAGCCCTCAGCACAGCTGGTGCTCAGCAGATGCCCTCTCACAAGTGAGAGTAGGGAAAGCCACGCCCACACCCTAGACTCTTACTCCTCTTTCCAGGCTCTTTCTCTCTAAGCTCCTATTCTTAGAGCATTAGTACTTGACCAAGAGGTATGGTTCAGAACAAGGAAAAACCTGTATACAACCATTTACTCTCAGTTAGGCTGGCAAACCAGGCTCACACTGGCTCTCAAGAAGTTGCTGTGAGCAGAAAAAACTTTACCCTCCCCTGGAAGCACAATACTGAACCACAGCCAAACTAGTCAGAGCTTTCTACATCATGTACTTTGCAGCCAGCCTAGTGAAGCGTAGCTCATGTGCCTGTCTCTGGTTTGTGCAATCAGAACAAAAATCCCAGCAGACCAGCAACTAACTCACCACCTGCATCAGCAAGGAGGAGCTGTCTGCCTGCTAGGGCTCAGGTTTGGCTGCTTCAAGAACATGGCTGTCCATTATCAAAACTTCCTCAGGAACGCGTAGCTGAACCAGAAGGCTTGCTCAAGAACACACCTGCTCAAGGTCATGTGCCTCCTAGCAGCAAGGCCAAACCTCATCTGACTTCTGTCACCTGTCATCCACCATTTCTGACTGAACACCAGTAGGCCCACCTAGCTCCAAACTGTCTTCTCTGACCTATAACAGGGATATATGTGACTGACAAATAGCAGAAAGGGAGGGAAACTGTATTATTTACAATTTACTTGGCCAGGTGTTGTGGCTTATGCTTATGATTCCAGGATTCAGGAAGTTAAGCAGGAGGCTTACTGTGATCTGAAGACAACCTAGGCTACTAAAGACAGCCTGTCTCAGGCTCTGTAGTTTCAGCACTGTGACTACAGCAAGTGCACCTGTGTTGCCTGTCGAGTCTGATCTCACAGTATGGGCTCTACCCCGGCCCCAAAACAGACAGTACTAAGCCTTATGGAAAACAGCCTAAGATTCAATCAGATGAGGATTTATTTGTCTTAGTTTCTGTTACTTTGGTTAATCTTGAGGAACCAATGTTAGGGTTAGCTGAACAACAAATACACCTGAGCATGCAGCGTCACTCCAATGCCCCAGGTGCAGTCAGGGCTCACACTCCCCACGTGGTGGTTGCAGGGCCTACCACATACCGTCCATTTGAACCTTCTTTGGCTGCATAGAGGGAGATGACATAGAGGAGGTGACCCGGAAGTTGGCAGGCAATGTCTCTGCAGAGCCAGAGGCCAGGCCACGGATGTCCTTCGGTCGGAACTTCTTCCTCCATGAAGGTGCTCTCCTGAAGCTTTTGTCATCGTCCTGGCAAACCAAGGAGACATATGCCAATTAACAATAAAAGTGGCACCCAGCCAGGCCTGTGCTCTCCAGATTTTGGCTTGTGTGTAGCTAACCTTCACGTTGACAGCACAACTGCCTGCCTAGTTCCATCTGCAGCAGAAAAGGACTGTGGAGATGCTGCTCTGGCCACAGTTGGAGAACTGAGGCCAGTCCTGGGCTGTGGCCCTTCTCACCCCACACTTGTCACACAAAAACCACCTCACAAACGGGACACACAGACTACAGACTACAACATGGCCAACAAGGCCTCTTCAAGATAGCTTCTGTTCTCTTTATCAAATTAGAGATTCTTTTTCAAGGTTCAATGACAATCCTTATAATGTGATGTCATGGGTTTCAAGAGGAAAAAAATAACAGTTTTGAGCAAACACATTTCTGAGACACATCTTTCCCCAAAGCACCGAGGCTCTGGGCTGGGGTAGAATGACCAGTTCTTCCCAGAACACAAGATAGACACTGTTTTGAGGCTTAATCCAGTTTTATGACTTGACAACCATTTGTGAGACATCAAAAACCAACAGCAAGCCAGGCATATTGGGTATACATGCGACCCCAGCTCTTGGAAAGCTAAGGCACGATGCTCCAAGTTCAAGGCCACCTTGAACTACAAGGCAAGATTCTTTCTCAAAACAAACAAAACCGTAAAAAAAAAAAAAGTTTTATTAAAACTATTCTGGCAGGGTGGTGGTGGTGCAAGCCTTTAATTCTAACACTCTGGAGGCAGAGGTAGGCAAGATCTCCACGAGTTTGAGGATATTGAGGGTTATATAGAGAAACCCTGTCTTTAAAAACTAAAAAAAAAACAAAACAAAAAAATCCATTCTTTTCTGAGTTGGGCATGCCCAATGGTAGACAGTGTCGATGCACTTAGCTCTCTCAAGAGTGTGTGTGTTTGTGTGTGTGTGTGTGTGTATCCCCCCCCCCCCCAAATATGGGTCCACACTCCTTAAGCAGCTTTTCCACATGGTTCTAAATATGATGATGAAACGGGGCACACTCCATGCACACGAGGGTTGGGGTTTGGTGTTAGATGCCCAGCAAACAAAGTAGAGAATAAAAACATCAGATGGAGTACTCACCTCATCAAACCTTCGATCAGTCCCTGTGACCAAAAGGTTGTTGAACTCTCTTTCCAAGACAGCTCGAGCCTGAAACAATGAAAGAGCAACAAAGCCTTCATCAATTACTAGGAAGCACGCTGGCAGGTTCCATTGCTGGGGAAATCCTGACACACAATTGCATCTAATCTGAGGGCAGACTGGAGGGGAAGTCATTGGAAGTTGTAGGCAGAGGCTGCTCATTCGTTCCTGGCCACCCAGGAAAACATTAATTCCAATATTGCTTGGCCAATAGCTTAAGCCTATTTCTAGCTAGCTCTTACATCTTAAATTAGCCCATTTTTATTATTTTACATTTTACCACAAGGCTCGCACCAGTGCATGGGCATGGCAGCCACATGGCATCTCTTTGACTTCACCTACTCTCTCCTCCTCTATCTGGATAAATACTTTGCATTGGTATGGATCTTGGTTTACTGATACAAATTTAAGGCCAATTTATATAATATATATTATATATTTCTGCTCATTTTCAAATTATGT